TAGGGATGGTATACAGTTTAACCCAAAGAATGACCAGTCTGTCAGATGAAAAAGAGCCGGAGTCAGAGATTTAAATAAACAAATGAAGTTTACTGAAGATAGTTTGCAGTTTCATCAGCAGAAGACAGCTTCAACACTCGCAATGAGTTCCTAGGCCGCTCTGCTTACAATCACCAATCAATAACAATTATACTCTCACATAACGTCATTAACTGGGTCATACATATAGGTGTTCTAACCTGATTGTTTAAACCACTACTAGGAATATTTCCACGTGGGGTTGGTGCGTACATTTCTGAACAATATCTTAAGCATAAACGTCAGACATCCACTAGACTGTTTAGAGCTGACTCCAGACCTGTGAAACTGATCCACAATCCAATAGAACACACACACATAAAGAACAATCTGTTTCTTATCCAAGGCTGAGTGTACTCTCAGCCGTCTTTATCAAAACTGGTTAAAAACCGGTATAAACTACATTCAGGCTGTTATACCTTTACACAAAGTCTATCTTGAATAAAAAGTAGAATCACTTTAAAATAATTTACCGTAAAAATCGCAAAATCACTTTAGACATTTTAGATAGTATTAACTCATGGAAATAACAATAGAAACAGTTGCTTCCAGTCCTCAGCTCCAATCAAGGTCTCCATGACCTCTGACCTAGTTTGTTGTCTCCTGAAAAAGTTACACAGACAGGCAAATGCACTGAACATCAGGCATGTGCACACATAGGGCTCAACCTGTGCAGTGCACTTGCCCTTTGTAGTCTTGGATAGAAAGTGCCCTTCCAAAATGATCTGAAGTGCCCCCGCTCCACCGCATTACACATCCGGCTCTTCAAATATTTTTTCCTGCACATGCCACTTGGATGGTCTCTGCACGGGCCACTACATTCTTACATAAATCAGTGTGTTAAACTTATTCATTAGTTAAAATCATTTCAAAGTTAAATACACATTCAAATAAACAAATAATTATATTTAATAAAAATAATGGGAAACAAGATGATGAGAAAAGGATAAACGTTGATTCATGCTGAGATGGATTGGAAGGTATGAATCCGAATTGTTCAAATATATTACATTTTTTGTCTGTTTTATTTTAACCTTGTAAAACTTTTCATTTCATCTCAATGTCAAAAAACACTTCTAAATCACCACATTTGCACACTTTTTCAGTTTTAGGTTTCTTCTCAATTTTATGTTGTGCGGCATTATTTAGTTGATTCTGAATTTTTGTTTCTTTATGGTCAAGTGACAAAGAAAGCTGATCATGATTGGCCCTCGTGCTTGCATTTGAAATGCTGATTGACTCACAGAAAGAACCTCATAGAGCCAAGCTATAGTTTGACTTTGTAGATAAAACCTATTTTGTTTTTTTAAATAAAAATCCTTAATATGTAAACAACTTATAAAAAACATTACATATTGTAAATAAGTTGTCATTTAATAAGAATATATCAATAACTCAGGGTTGCTGGTTCTAACAACAGGTGATTAAGAATGAAGACTTTTGGATTTCATACAGATATGCCCCTGCTGCCCATCCCAGACAACCTGTAACCATTGACTTTCATAGTAGGAGAAACAAATACTATGAAAGTCAATGGTTACATGATTTTAACTTTTTATTTAGAAATCTTCTTTTGAAACTCATAAAATTTTGAAACAAGTTAAGGGAGAGTATAAGGATAACAGAATGTTAATTTGTGGGTGAACTATCCCTTTAACCAGTGAATCGTGAGGAATGATTACTGATCCAAAACTGAATTTAGTGTACATTCTTACAATTGTGATAGATTCAGGCAAAATATCTCTAGGGAAAGTATAAATCTGCAGACTTTTTTTGGTCTTTTTCTGTTTGGCTGTCAATAGTAATGTGCAGTTTATTCCTGAAGGATGTTTCTTTCAGCCGACAGCTCATATCTCTGAGAGAAAATAGATTTTTTTGTGTCTCTCTGGATGATGTTTGGACTCGGGACAGTCTGTTGATTTCCTGCAGTGTCTGTCTGTAGTCATTGTTGGCCGTTGAAGGTAAATAGCAGCTATTTTTCTGCCAGACTTGACATCTCCACTTGTCATATGAGATCTTCATCTCTCTGCTGCTGCAAAATGACCTCTCTTTTTGTCTACAACTGATGTGCTGCATTTTCTTTCTGTTTCTCAACTACCCTTTTTTCTTTTCGCTGTCTTTATCACGTCAGTTTTTCACTGCTTTAATGCATTATCTCCTCTGGAAATAGTTTTTTCTAACTGTTAATTCATGCCCTCTAGTGGTGATTATTGTTTGGTACACCAAAGTCTTGTATAGGCAAAAAAAATAAATAAATAAAATAATAATAATAATAAATAAATAAATATAAATAATTTATTTCAGGTTTGTTTTGCTGTTGTTGTTCAGAATACAAGAAACTAAATGGATTTGTGTTATTGGACATATCCAACTTAAATTCATTTAGCATCTTGTAGTCCAAGCAGTCTAATGAAATTTCACTTGAGCTCATGACAAATTAAAGAAGTAAAGATATCTGTAAAAAATATGAATGATTAAAAAATCTAATTGTTTAAGTTGTCACATATTTATCACTATGGTTTCTAAATTATGTGTTTAAACACATGTAATCTCAATTTTACCTGGTAACGATTGCATTTAATTTGCTTTAATTAGTTTCCTGAAAAAATATATAAAGCTTCAAATCATTATTGTTCTGTACTTTCTGACTGTTCTGTCTTATATCTATCTTTATAAAATCTATTAAGACCAGATTAACAAGTGGATTTGTTTTATTTTAATAATTCTATATTAAATCATTGTAAAATAAGATATTTTAATATCGCTTGTTAGATATATTTGTCTTCACCTTAGCAAAGTGCAAGTACATGAAATTAGATTTTTTATAAAACTGATTAAGTTTACGTTCATGGGTGTTTTTTTTATTTTATTATTATAATTTTTTTATTTCGTTTTTAGTTTATCTTATTTTTTATGTTTTCATTTTATTTTATGAAACTGACCAAGATTACATTCATGGGTGTTTTATTTATTTTTTTTCAATTTAATAAAAAAAATTCTATTTAATTTAATTTAATTTAATTTTTTTATTTTAGAAACTGACCAAATTCACATTTATGGGTGTTATTTTATTTTATTTTATTTTATTTTTAAATTTTTAAATTTTATTTATATTTTTTATCAACTACAGGAAGACAAATTTTAAAAACTGAATCAGTTTATCATATTTTTCTATATTTTTCGTCTAATAATTCTGTATGTTGAATTTAATTTTAAAAAGTAAATGGAAAAATAATAATAATTTTAGATGATAGACTTATTATTATCAGTTCTGTGATTCCTGTCAAATCAAGCAATAGTAATGATAAGTTTAGATGAATTTCTCAAATGTTAGTTGTCTTTCTACTTTCTTATACTTAACATGCTTGTTTGTTTGTGTGTGTGCAGGTGCTGTGTATGATCACTGCTCCAGTGACCATGATCCTGTCCTCTCAGCAGGATGCTTCATTTGCCTTCGCTTCTCTGGCCATCATCTTCTCCGTCTACATCACTCTCGTCGTCCTCTTTGTGCCAAAGGTCCGAACGCCTCAATGTTCCCCTGCTTTATATCACTTCCACATTTTCTGTTGCAGACACACAATTCTCACTTTGTCTCGTTTCGGTTCTTTCCCTTCACACAGTTTCCTTTTTTGCAAATTAGGCTAAGTTATGTTTCATTCTCGACACCAAATATTGTTTATCGAGATTTCGAAATGATGAACATGGTGGGGAATGCTCTCAATCTATTAATACTGTTATTGACAAATTATATATATATATATATATATATATATATATATATATATATATATATAATCTTTGTGTTTAGTATGTTTATTTTATTTTATTTGCTCGTTAATGCTAATTTCTAATCAGCCAATCACATGGCAGCAACTCAATGCATTTAGGGATGTAGACATGGTCAAGATGATCTGCTGCAGTTCAAACTGAGCATCAGAATGGGAAAGAAAGGGGAATTAAGTGACTTTGAATGTTGCATGGTTGTTGGTGCCTGACGGGCTGATCTGAGTATTTCAGAAACTGCTGATATCCTGGGATTTTCACTCACAACCATCTGTAGGGATTATAGAGAATGGCCCAAAAATGAGAAAATATCCAGTGAGTGGCAGCTCCGTGGGTGCAAATTGACTTGTTGATGCCAGAGATCAGAGGAGAATAGCCAGACTGGTTCCAGCTGATAGACAGGCAACAGTTACTCAAATGCACATAATGGATGTGCAGCTAACAAATCTGCAGCAACTGTGTGATGCTATCATGTCAATATGGACCAAAATGTCTTAGGAATATTTTCAGTACCTTGTTGAGTCTATGCCACGAAGGATTAAGGCAATTCTGACGGCAAAAGGTGGTGCAACCCCTTTGCCAAGGTAGGCCTAAGTTTAAACTAGTTTTGCTCTTTGCAGCACAATATTTGTCTAAACTTCAATCAGTTTTAACAAGTTACATTTTCTAGTCCCTCCACTGAATCAGCAGTGACAGGCAGACTGACTGAGAGAGAGACTATGTGTGTGCTGTTTATAGCTGCTAACATTATAAAAATGGGATTTTATCAATTCAATCACAGATGGATATATAAGACTTTTCCAGTTATACCTAGAGTGTGTTTCCAGTCACATTCCCAGTGACACATGTCTGCTTTCTACCACTTCTCTGATGAGGGAGGATCTGTATATATATTGACTTTCTCTTAACATTAGCTTTAATACTGCAAAAGCTGGGCTACCTATTGCAGAATTTCTGTGATTTACATTTCATGATAAAGATACAACTCTTATTTTTTTTGGTACCGTATTAATTAAATACACTTTAGGAATATGTTACGTTATGCATTAACTAATGAAATTGAAGATAATATATTTCATTTCCTATCAACTTCAAGCCTTCATACTTTATTTTGTTAAGTTTTAACATGCTATTTTTATCAAATATTTTAAACAAATATTTTAAAACATGTGAAGTAAATAAATTGTGTAATTGTGCCTCTTTTGAATCAAATTTCATTATTTCAATAACTGATATAATAATAAAGCCAAAATAGTAAAAACAAAACATAATAACAACATAATATTTGATAAAATTATGAGCAATATCATATGAATAGCTTTGCAATATGGCTGTATCAGTGTACCAATGACTGTATACAGTCATATCGCACTGCTACGAGTGTGATATTGCATTTATACAACAGTTCGACGGCATAATCCTGTATATAAAAAAGCAAATCAAACACATTTGTAAAAGGAATTACTTTCTTCCGCCATTCATTCACATCTGCAGTTGACGTCAGAACAGCAGACAACGTTGCTACTTCACAAACGTCACTTTAGAGCTAGTGTTTGAATGATTCTCTAGCGTAATGTCTAAAGTGATGACAAAACAGATGATTTTGCTCACATTTGAGGAGCATAAGGCTGAATGACATGAAATGCCATCAGTCTATAGTGATTTCCCAGTATTTCTCTGTTGCAATCAGGATTATTCAATAATTAACCCCAAAATGCGACACAAACACTACCAGATTACTCTTGTATACATATATATTTGTATATACACAAATGTATATTTGTGTATATGCACACACAAATATATAGGTTTATTTTATATATTTAATTTATTATATATTGCTTTCATTATTGTATGTTTTTATATATTTCTTTTGTAATTAATTTTTCTGCTTTAGCTTCAATTTCATTCATATTTCATATAGCATAGCTATTTTCTTGGAATTTTGTTTAATATTTTTCAAATGAATCATGATTTTAATTCAGCTTCATACTAATGCTGACAAATGTTTTAATCCATTTTAGCATGTTGTCAAATCTTGCTAACAATAAAAACCCTGCTTTGTGTTTCGTTTCCTCTCATGCACTTTAGCTTAAACTATCTCAAATCAGTTTTCATGAAAATAAGTGTAATTAATTGAATAAGATAAGCCAAAAGTAAAATGACTGATGATGTATGAAGAAGATTAAACAAACTAAACCTTTCAGGGTGATTTATTTTGCTATAAACGACCCTTTCCTTATTGCCCATTGGCTCTCCATAGCATCACCTGTAAAAATATATTGATCTCAGTGGTGTTTCATGAATGCAGTGATGGATTTTAGTGTTTTTTCCCCTTCAGATCCGCCGTTTGATCACTCGCGGCGAGTGGCAGTCGGAGCAGCAGGACACACTGAAGACCGGCTCATCCACCAACAACAACGACGAGGAGAAATCCAGACAGCTGGAGAGAGAAAACCGAGAGCTGCAGAAGATCATTCAAGAGGCACGTGCTGCTATTCTCACTGCTGGAGCTTCATTAACTGCAGAATAGATGAACACATTGATGCACACACACACACACACTCACACACACACACACACACACACACACACACACACACACACACACACACTGAGAAGGGGAATGAATTATTGAAATGATATCATACTCGTCCTTGCGTTTGACCTTCTGACACATGACTGCATTTTCACATGTTCTTCATGTGTTTGTGGCAGAATGAGGAAATGTAGACTTGCTGAAGTGATAATAAAGGGTTGCTGAAAGAATGATAAAGGGAAGTTTGAAAGAATAGTTCAGGCCAAAATGGAAAAATGACGCAGGCACTGTCTGACCGACTTTTTACTGAGGAGCAGATATGGAGAAGCTCAACTGTGTGTGTCATTTAGTAATAACACGAACAATACAAAATAGATTTGGAGTGGAAATGGATAATTATATAAAATTTTATATTTACAATATATTTACAATATACGTGGGTTTCCTCCAGGTGCTCCGGTTTCCCCCACAGTCCAAAAACATGTGGTATAGGTGAATTGGGAAAATAAGTTGTTCGTAGTGTGAATGAGTGTGTATGTGGATATTTCCCAGTAATGGGTTGCGGCTGGAAGGGCATCCGCTGCATAAAACATTTGCTGGATGAGTAGGCATTTCATTCCGCTCTAGTGACCCCAGATTAATAAATGGGCTAAGCTGAAAATAAAATTAATAAATGATAATAACAACAGCAACACAATAATAATTGAAGTAATAATGGATAAGTAAATACAGTGTTTATTATAAACGTATCATATGACTTGTTACTGTGGAGCAAAAATGGAATGTCAGATTTGACATGCATTGATGTATAATTATTTACAAAAATACGTAAAAAATGTGTCAATTATACAATTATATAATTATGTGATTATAATGTGAATATTAAAATGTTTATATTGACAAAATTCTACGTACGAAAACAAAGTAAAATGTATAATAATAAAGGATATTTGATATACATTTATGAATTATTATGATATTAATGTATTTAGGTATTAAATAATTAATTATATCATTCATTTTTGCATTTATTATAATGATGTTTACAGTTGTAATAAATTTATATATGCGTCAATGAGCAAAATCACATAAGTAGCACTGTGATATGATTGTATATCGGCACTGATGGGAGGCGTGCATTGGCACGAGGCTGCCAAGTGCCTTAGTGTCCCACCAGTGACGATATACAACCATATTGCACTGTTATAAGTGTAATATTGTGTTTATACAACAGTTTGACGGCATAATCGTGTATATAAAAAAGAAAATCAATAGCCCTTTAGTATGAGGAACTACTTTGTTCCACCATTAATTCACATCTGCAGCTGACGTCAGAACAGCAGAAACCATTGCTACTTTACCAATGTCAATTTAGAGCTAGAATTTAAGTAATTCTCCTGCGTAATGTCTAAAGTGATGACAAAACAGGTGATTTTTCTCACATTTTAAGATTATAAAGGCTGAATGGCATGAAATGCCTTCAGTCTACAGAGATTTCCCACTATTTCTCTGTTGCAATCAGTAGATCACAATGATTAACCCCGAAAAAGCCAAAGCAAAGCAAATACTACCAGATAATTATGGTATAAATACAGCACTACAACATACAAAAAAAGAGAGATCGACTTAGAAGGCTCAATCCTTATAAATAAACAAATCTAAACAACTACATTCTGCCTAAAAAAGACTCAAAAGTACATTGTTGTCCAACATCTGCAATATTTGTCAAAATGTAGTAAGACTTTCGATCTGCTGTCACCTTATGTGGGCGGAGTAATACACAAGGGAAAAGAGGCTGTACGAGTGCTGTTATTGTATATATTATTTATTATAACTGTATTTTAAATTGTCATAATATTAATAATTATAAGAAATATATAGTTATTTAAAGCCACTGATATGGCTTTTATGAATATTTCATCTGTTTGTGCAGAAGGAAGAAAGAGTGACAGAGCTGAGGAGTCAGCTTGCCGAGCGTCAGGCCTTGCGCTCTCGCAGACGTCCATCCGTCCAGAACCAGAACCAGAACCACAGCGTCCCGTCGCCTCAGGCCGACCCGCCTAGCTACTGTCCCACCACAGACAAACAGAGCATGCCTCCGTCCTTCTCCAACTCCTCCAACCTGTACCAGGGCGAGAGCAAACTGAGCCGCAACAACTGCCACAACAGCCGCCTGCCGCTGCTCTACAAATGAGGACGCCGCAATGTAGAGCTCACTGTCTGAAAACCGGTATTTCACCTACGTTAAGTTTATGGGGGTTTTTTGGGCTCCTCTTTTGGATTCTTCACATTCCTGACACTGACTTCCTCTTTTGTTCACTTGTCATTAAAACACGTCATGTAAAACATTTTCCACAACTTTGTTTAAAGGTTTGGGGTCATTAAGATTTTTTTATGTTTTAAAAGAGGCTCGCTAAAGGGGTCGTTCACACAGAACACGTTTTTTAATGTTTTTATTCCAGTATGCTACTTTTTTATGCTTTTTCTATGTAATCTCGCTTGCTGGATATGCGTTACTTTTTCAGAGCTTCACACATAAGTGCTGCGTGTTTAAGACCCCGTCAAGTTAAAGGATTTAAACTTTTTTACGCCCCTCATCAATGTCAGTTCCAAAGCAGTGGACCAATCAGGAGAACTCGGGGGAGGGATAATGTTAGATTTAGCTCTGTTTGGCATAATCGTTATTGGGTGGCTCGCTAATCTATTCGCTGACTCTAAGGCCTTGTTTACACTGCCAGTTAAATGTGACCCAATTCCAATTTTTTTGCTCCTATGTGACATGAAAAACACGAAAAAAACGCATTCATTCGGGTATATTCAGAGATCGGTTTCAGGCCTCCTTTATATGTGTAAATAAATCAGATATGAATCAATGCGGCAATAAGACTTTTTTATTAAACTTGCGACAATGTGGTAATTCTTCACAGTTTAATGAGTGTGTGTGCTCATTCTAAAATTTCGGACCCATTGCTCTTTATTAAAGCCCCCCAAAATTTGCTCCCACCAGACCTGATATCTCTTTCGTACCACCCAAAATCGTCTGAATGGTGGAGGACACCATATATAAACCATAGGTGCAAGCTATGATAACGGCCCTTTACCCTCCTCCTCTGCCTCAAAATTATTTTAAAGTTGGGCGAACTTCGCATATTTCGCAGAACTAAAAGCAAGACAATTTCTTCCATGGTGGCGCAGATGCTAGTAATTACGCATGCGTGACATTGTAAATTGTATGGCATGTGTAAACGCATGAATCAGATATGGGTCATAATTAAAAAAACATGCAAACAGACAGGCTAAAAAAATCAGATACAGACAACAAATCGAAATTGGTCATTAAGACCTGACATTGTAAATGTAGCCTAATACACAAAATAAGTAAGGGCCTACTTACACTATGCTATCCGAACCGTGCTCTGGCCTGTTTCCCGGATCATTTGAGAAGTGTGTGTGCTCTGAATCGGGCTCAGGCACTGTTGACTTGGCCGGCCCTGGCCCGAGAGTGGTTCACTTGGGCATGGTATATGCTTGTGTGTGAGTGCAAAATGCGGCTGAGCCTGAAACTGAAGACGAGACGTGACTTTTAAGGGACTGTTTGATATGGATTTATTAACCAATCATACTGTTCAATAAACGCAAACTGTCGTAGTTTATTAAAGACGCAAACCCACGACAGCTGCACCTTCAGCAAACCTCCTAATTCCTGCAGCACAAGGACTTTTTGATTGTTTATGAGCGTCAAAAGTGGCTAATCTGTTCGGCGAAATAATTGACTGCGTGCCACTGCTTATCAAACGACTTAAACGATGTAACTGAAGAAATCTCCACTGAGCTGAGCGACAGCGCTTACAGAACAGTGCATCATTGATGACGTAAGCAAGCCCATGCCCGAATATAATGTGAGTGCAGGTTCAAGGCAACTGTACATAATGTGAGCACGCTCTAAGCTGACCAAAGTTCTTAAGGGGAGAAGACTTTATTGAAGACAATGAATAGTGCAGTTCCTCAGCAGTGATGTAAACTTGTTGGTCTTCAAGTAACTTAATCCAAAATTCTGTTTGTGAGACACTACTTTATAACTAAGGATATGACCCACCTGAAATGGTTTGCTTGGGTCACAACTCTTGAGTTCCTGTACGCCGTTTGATTCACACCTTTTCAGATGCATATCAGCAAGCATGGTGAGCTTCTGTGTACGGTAGCAAGTTGGCATCACAACTTTTTTACTGGCCTCCTCCACTGCCAGTTAAATGTGACCCAATTCCAATTTTTTTTTGCTCCTATGTGACATGAAAAACACGAAAAAAAACGCATTCATTCGAGTATATTCAGAGATCTGTTTCAGGCCTCCTTTATATGTGGAAATAAATCAGATATGAGTCAATGCGGCAATAAGACTTTTTTATTAAACTTGCGACAATGTGGTTTCTTGAGTTCCTGTACGCCGTTTGGTTCACACCTTTTCAGATGCATATCAGCAAGCATGGTGAGCTTCTGTGTACGGTAGCAAGTTGGCATCACAACTGTTTTACTGGCAGCTGAAGACCTTTTTAAAACTTTTTCTAAATTGTGTTTTCCTAAATATGCATTCTGTGTGGATTGCTCCTAAGGCTGAATTTATTTGATCAAAAATACAGTAAATGTGACTTTAAATAGTTTTTGGATGTCATTTATTGTTTCTGAATTTTCACCATGATTACCGCAGTCTTCATTGTCACTTGGTGCTTACGAAATCATTTTAATAAGGTGATTTGATGCTCAAGGAATGTTTCTGATCAGTAATTAACAGAAAGTAATATTATAAATGTATTTACTGTCACTTTTGATCAAATTATTGTGAAACTGAAAAGTAAAAATCTTATTGACCTCAATATTATTAAAGGACGTGTAAAGTATAAATATATATTCAGAGGCAAATGTCATAAAACCAATGTCCTTGTTAATCAAAAATCTTTGCAGCAATATTCTGGTTTCAGTGCAACTTAAAGAGGTAGTTTACCCAAAAAACAAGGATTCCGTCATTTACTCACCATTCACTTGGTCAAAACTTGTTTGACAAAAGAAGAGATTCTGTAGAATGCTAAAAAAACAACCATTTGACTTTCATAGTACATGTGTTCCTGCTATATATCAGTGACATTCCCAACATTTTTCAGAATATCTTCCTTTGTGTTCAACAGCAGAAAGAAATTCATAAATGTTTAGAATCATCTGAGGGTGAGTAAATGGAGAGTACATTTTCAATTTAGGGTGAACTATACCTTTAAGCTTTGTGTAATGTTGATTAGAAATCATTTTTTTATTTGTCTCATACTTTGTTCAAAGTCTGGGATTCATTAACACAAGTATTTTTGGGTTAATGAACATGATCAGTTGAATTTAACATTGCTGTACCTGTAATATTCCTTTAAAGGCTAGACAGTGCAAACATAAAGACTGCTGTTTCAAATTGAAGATTATTGTTGTTGAAGCAGGAATGAACATGAGATAAAAGTTGTTTAAATGGGTCCTATTAGGCTTTTTAGCTGGGATGCAAACTGATCACCTTTTGAAAATGTTTTGTTTAAAGCCAAAAATAGGGCATTATTATGATTAGTCTTAAAATATAGTTGAGTTTCTATACAGAACCTGAAAGTTTTGGCTTGTTTTTAAAAGCCGCAGATAAAGATGTGCTTATGTGTGTGCTTAATGGGTGGCTAATCAATATCAACATAGCAAAAAAATCACATACTGTAGCAATATGTGTATAAACTATATAAACACACACACACACACACACACACACACACACACACACACACACACACACACACACACATATATATATATATATATATATATATATATATATATATATATATATATATATATATATATATATATATATATATATATACACACACACACACACACACATACACACACACACACACACACACACACACACACACACACACACACACACACACACACACACACACACACACACACACACACATATATATATATATATATATATATATATATGTATATATATATATATATATATATATATATATATATATATATATATATATATATATATATATATATATAATTTGGTTTTGGTAGACTTCAAAAACCTATAAGTATGTCTAAGAAAATTTTACCAACCGTTTACCAACATTTGTTTACGTTCAGTAATTTCACTTTAATGGCATGAATGAAAGTAAAGAATACTAATAACCTGAACACATCGATATTGCATAATGCTGAACATGGGGGACTAATAATAGAAAAGAAGCCTTAGAAAAAAAGGACAGGTTTTTCTTCTGAAGACTGACGTTTGCCTCCATGTTTACACTTCCTTATGATGTGATTACAAAGCACAAAAATAGTTATCTCTATAAGTAAGCATCGTTTCTGAGCACCTTGTTTGTAATCCAGAGTTCTCTTCTTTAAACGTGCACATCAGAAAACCCTTAATTTGAAAAATCCCTGCCCAAGTGGGCGGAGCCTGCTTGAGTTGTTTTGTAGTTATGGGAGGTTCGGACCATCTTACTGTCTTTGTTCTTTTAGTCTCGTCCATCGACATGAACAAAAAAAAATTTTTTTTTTTGAGTCACTTAGTTCAATTTGGCTAAATGTTATTAAAATGTTACAAGTTGCTTCCAAACACAGCTACAACCATCTCAAATGTTGATCACACTACAAACAAGGATGGAGACAATAATCATTCCTTGTTTACCTTTTGTCTATGATGATATTTCTGTGTCTCTGCTCAGCTCACCTCTTCATGCCTTCAAATTTGAGTAGTGCGTTCTCGTGACACTGACAGTCACATATAAGTTTAACCAATGCACACAGTCTGAGCTGGAAGGAGGCATGATTAGCTCACCTTTTGAGTCTTTGAGCTTTTGACTTTTGAGTCGTTCGTTCATCACCTGACGGCATGTAAAAGTGATAACTCATACCCAAGGACTCGAGAAATGAACAGATCAAATCTTTTTCTAGCTCTAAATGCATATGATTGGCTTCTGCTTTTCATGTGATAAATGACTCAAAGTCTTGAAAAATGAACAAAACAACCTGCACAAACGTGCGCATGCACAGATGAACGAGGTACTCCCTGAGAGGACTCGTCATTCCCGATTCACATTAAAGATTCATTCAAAATGAACTAATTGTTCAAGAATGACCAATCACTCTTAGTTAGTAGTGCGTTGTCAGATGTAATACTGATACATAAGCCATTTCCTCCCCAATCCTTTGAGTGTCGTTTTGACATAACGCTGTGTATATCTGACAGTTGCTAAATCAAATATTAGTTTATATGCACATGATGCAACCCAGGCTCATTCTGGAAACAAAGTCCCGCGGACGTTTCTCGAGACTGTAAAATATGTCCCGGGAGGTACGTATTTGTGCAGTTTTTGTTTTTGCGAATCTGCTGTGCGTGCTTTTTCGCGTCTTGAACGCCTCTCGCGAGCACCCGTTCCCGCCCGCGCTGTTCTCGTGTAAAAAGCCATCGAAGGCTGCTGTCGAGCGACCGTCTGTCCGACTGACTGACTGAATGACTGAACGATTGACTGGGCGGCCGACCAATCGGCCGACCCAGCCACCCTCCTTCTCCTCCTTCTCCTTTTTCCCTAAACCCAAGCGATGATTTACAAAAGCCGTTCAGAAATAGAAAAGCCCTTGTCCGATTTTGACCGCGTTTTTGGATTTCACCGCATTCTCGCCCCATTACGAACTTGTTCGCTTTATTTTTTGGATTCTGTTTTTTGTTTTACCTAATTTCTGGAACGGCTCTTACCCGGACTCGAACCTGGTCGTCGAACACGGCCATCTTCTACTCCTCCGGGCCTCTGCTCCGTCGACGTTACACGACGAGTTAAACACGGAGGGGGTGAGCCGTCAGCCGGTTAGCGGGAAGAGGAACGCCATCATACCGCCCCGTAGTGTTCACTTGAAAAAACAAAATATGCCATATGTACCACCGACCACGTACTGTAAATCGCGGTCTCCAGAAACGCCAGTGGTGCTACGTTTTCAGAATAAGCTTGGGTTGACATAATGAGGTGTCCGCCAACCTTTTTTCTGTTAGCACACTTTACATTTGTGCACCAAATATCAGGAGTTTAAACTGACAAGACTTCAGAATACACGTTGATGATTTTAGTTTGTTTTTTCAGAGTATGTGAGACACATGGTGTAAAGGTCCCCTTTTCTTTAAAAGGGGCCTGGTAACAACCGCTGATTTGCATTTAAAGGTCCCGTGAAGTGCTTAGAAATGTGCATTTTTATGTCAGATACTAGTGAGCATTTGATTTGTCACGATTTTATGAGAAACTGAAGTATGAGGTGACATGAATAAAACTATTGATCTATTTAGGCGGAAGTGACAACCAGAAGCTTTACATGTTTATTTCAGTTTTATATCTTCTGAATGAAAATTTGATCACTGTTTTGGTGCGCACTAGCTTATAGATATCCTAAATGCTAACAAAACTGATACTAACCTTTAAGTCTTTAAATTAATAGGACACAAGCACACACCAAAAAACAGCTTGCTTTTGCTTTTACCCAAAGAGAGTCATTTACATCAGGGTCTAACAAAT